GCTGTTTTTGAATGAAATTTAGTCACACGAAAATTTTTTGACTTCTTTGTATAAACGTCAAACAAAAACTTATCGTACGATATGCGTTAAACTTAGACAGAGTGTGTATAATAGTGTTGTCAGCGTGAAAATAAAAAAAATTACCGTTTGGATAAGCGCGGGAATTCAAAAAAAGAACGAATAAGTTCTTTTCTGATCACAAGGTATTATTTTACATAACCAAATATTGATCAATTAGTACGTTCAAAGCAAATATATATAGTTTCAATACATTATGTCATTGAGTTAAAATAGTCAAATTTAACTATAGTTGTTATATTTAATTACAAAAATGGAGTGAACAAAAAAGTTTGTTATGCCTACACTATCCGCAGATACTTTTAGTACATCAAGCAGACTTAATGAACATTGATATAAATGGTAAGAAGTTAAGGAATATCAACAGTCATAGTAAAAGCACCGGCAAAATAATAACAATAGCACAGGAACCACCACAAGGATAATGACAACAAGTGAACTCATAGCAAGTGACTAAAATAAGTACAGCTGCCAATGGCTTTAAGCATGGCGAAGACTAAGCTAACACAAGCTAAAAATTATAATTGTTAAGAGTATGTTAAATTAATACATACAAAAATATTATCCTTGTTGGCTGGCAACTAAGTAAATACAAGGACTATAAGCAATAAAAAATAAACTCTAAATATAACTAAAGATGACAGAATGAAAGACCAGAAAGACCAGAAAGAGAGAAACAAAAAACAAAGGAAAAAGTTCAGCAACAATAATAACAAAAACATTAACAGCGACCAACATGTGCAGAAGGACAATTAAAGGACATGGCTTTATTATGGTTTGTACCACGACTACAACGTCTATAACAACAAATGACAATAACTACTACTCTACAATCACTAACATTTGAACAATGGCTGCTGCGAGACTAACGAAACTACAACAACAACTATAACAGCAACAAGAACAACAGCATCAGCGTCAGCGTCAGCAACAGCAACAGCAACAGCAAAAACATCAGCAACAAAAGCATATATGAATTGTTCCAGCTTTGATGACTATATGTTGTCCTCTATGGCAAGAGCGCTAACACAAGCAACAACAAGAACAACAACGGCAGCGACAACAACAACGGCAGCGACAACAACAAAAACTATGAAAACAGAAAAGTCATTATATCCTTATGTGGTGCTTACGATATATTGAAGCATAAGCTGAGCACATTACACTGTTTGCAAGGGAAACGAATAAAATGGCGTTGATAAGCAGCAAATGTTATTCTGATTTATGTCTGCAAGTATGTATGTATGTATGTATGTATGTACGTATGCATGTATGCATGTATGCATGGGTTTATATGAATGTTGGCTTGTCTGAAGATTTAAGTGACTGCATACGAAAAGCATAAAGGATACACTATGGTTAATATTAAAATGTTGAAATATTTTCATAACTTAATAAAAGCAAAATCAGAAATATTCATGTAAGTAAATAGGCAAGGAAGTCTGCAAGTAAGTACACAGAAAGATTCTTCACTGGGTGGGATATGCACGGGAAATGCCTTGCCTAAATAACTTTTAGTTAGACTATGTTAAGTGTGGAGTTGGGAAATATTTTCCAGTGTATATGGCATGCATGCCTACACATGCCAATACAAAAAATTTAATGGTTTTGATGTGCTTAAACTAAATCGGAAAGGATAATAAATACTCGTGTAGCCCGTGTAACTCGTGTAACAGGAAGCAGGTATGTAAGGGTAAGTAAACAATTTAAGCGTAATAAAAAATAATTTTGGGTGTAAGTTTATGAGAATACCAAACTTAATCAAAAAATTACTTTGGTCATCCAAAAGGGGCACGAGTGATAAGCAGCAGTAATAAGGCTTAGCAATATAGTTGCATTGTTGTGTCGTTGCACTTGGGTCAAAATTGAATAAGGATAATAAAAGTCGCAGAGTTGTTAGTCTCATATAAGTGGGCAGGTATAATATGTTTGCTTAGCTGTTGGTGTAAGTAATGGAAACCAAGTGGATAGGTACTTCAAAAGTGTTTCTCATTACTGATAATAAGCTGCTAGAATATATGGCTCTCAAGAGGAGTCATACATGAAACATAGCTTATAAAAATATATATCTATAGAAAACGAAGAACATACAATATAAACTTATTTCATAGAATTATTAATTGTTAAAGAACTTTACAACTTTGAATTATTTACATTGCATTCCATCATTTATGTTTAACTGTTTTTTTATGTTTTTGTATTTTTTCTTCTCTAATAAATGTTTGTGAAGATAAGACGTGTTTTTAGTTCACCTGCGCTAATATTAATAATAATAATTCTTATTTACAATAATTCAAAATATTATATGACTACTGATTTAATCAATAAACAAGTTTCTGAAGCTTGTGTTTATGTCAGATTTTGCTATCAAATCCATTAGATACAGCACTGTCATTTGTTTCAAATGCATAGGCAAATACTTTCAATTCGATAATATAGTTAACATTTCCTTTATTTTCTGAAAGGACTTAAAAGGCTTAAAAATATCAGAAACAGATTAATGATCACTAAATGTTAACGATAATATGTTAAAATCAAAACACAGATGATCGTCAAAACATACAAATATAAACTGAAAACAATGCAAATGGTTCTGCAAATTTTGAAAAAGATAGAATAATATATAGCTGGATACACTGTGCGTGAATCCTAAACGAAAAATTTAATATTATGCTTTCTATTCTAATTCGAATTTTCTAGTTTCCTTAATGAATGCAGGAAGTTCGGGCGGAGAGAAACAGAGAATAAAATAAAGACAGAGCGTGAGGGTGAGAGAGTAAATGAGAGGGAGGGATTGAGTGAGAGAGAGTGACGATGAGACAGGGGAACAGAGAGAGAGAGAGAAGGAAGAAGGAAGGAGAGAGGAAGCGATGAGGACAGAGTGAGAGGGAAAGAGATCAAGACAGAGAGAGAGTGAGAATAAGAAAGTGAGGAAGAAAGAAAAAGATTAAGAAAATAGAGAGTGAGAATAAGAAAGAGAGGGAGAAAGAAATAGATTAAGACAGAGAGAGAAAAAGAGATTAAGACAGAAAGAAGAGATTAAGACAAAGAGAGAGAGAGAAAAAGATTAAGAAAGAGAGAGAAAAAGACAGAAAGAAATTACGCCAGAGTGTGAGAGAAATAGAGGGATTGAAGCTTATTATGTAAATATGTTTTATATATTATGTACATAATGAGATACATAACTACATTATGTTTACTATGCTTCTAAACAAAGTAGATATATAAAAGTATTATATTAACTGGAGAGAAGAAAAAGCTCAACCAAGCGGAAGAATCAGAAGGAAAAATCAAAACTTAATCAAAAACATTGGGTATCCGAAAAATAATTAAACTTGTACACAGACGTGTCAAGAGTAAGAAAAGAAAGAGAACTGCCGACATTATCTCTACAAGTCTGTTTCAAATGTTTACATGTCATGGAGTAATAAATAAAGTAAGTTACAAATACTGTGGACTGCAATAAAGGTGGCCTATTATGCTGTAGTCCATTTTATTTGTAGAGGCCAATAAACTATACCTTAAAAAATG